TTGTGGCTCACAGAAAGGCACTGAGCATGAACAGAAGTTCAGGGCTTGGCAGGCCAGTCCCCCAAGGCTCAGTCCCTCCAGAAGGACAGTCATTTATGTTCATACTCTGTGTTGCATACAGCTGAAGGGCCCCAAAAGCACCCCATCCTATTTGTATTCTCCAGGTGCCACTTGGATTGCTGAGCACTATAGAGCATTCTATTATAAGAGAGGCAAAGACACACCTTGAGCTATTTCAGATATTGCTTCATTATCTAGGAATGCCCCCTTCTTAGCGCTTATCTATTTCTATTGAAGAGTGAAGATAGTATAATATTTCTCTCTGTGGCGTGTTTTATTGTTGATGAAATCTTTATCTTGAGCTCAATTCTACCCCTTCCTTTGTTTCCCTTCTTTCTTTCATTCTTTTGTCTGATATAGAGAGCAATTCTACCCCTTATTCAATGTAACATTGAAAAAGTGCTGACAACCATGTCACTGTAGCTCGTTTGTCTTTAGGTTTTGCTGTTACTTCTTTTCTGAGTCAAGCAGTCTGAGTTTACTCGGTCACTTTCCTACTTTAGAGATATTTAATCTGATTAGTAGGTTATGGGTGTTCTATGATTGATTCTTTACTGCTATGAACTATATGCTAAGGTTCAAAGCAAGGTAGGAGGTTTACAAGTAGGAAGATTATAAATCAATATACTGCTTCCTTCATTAAGAAAATTTTGCTGTAAAAATAGAGCCAACTGAATTAAAATATTTAGGAAACTAGTAATTTTACATTGTAGTACCAATTTCTTTTATTCCGTTTCAGACTGATAATAGAGTTGAAGCAAATAGTTGAACAGTTGGCATCATTTCAAAACTCATTCTAACCATTCTTCTCAGACCTCAGCATCTTGTACTTTGGTTTGCAACCCCATGTGGGGTCATGTAACTGATGTGGGAATTGTGAAACTTTTGGCAACAGTAAAAGGTTTCTGAAGGTGCAGAAGACGATTCAAAATCAACGTGTAATGAATGAACCTGAGTGGTTTGGGGAGCATTCCACTGAATTGGATTGTACAGCTTCCCTGCAACCATTGTTTCAAGCACAGTATGCACTGTTTGCATCATACATCCCATCTTGTCATGCAATGCCAGTGAGCACTGCCTGAAACACCTCAACTCAGACTGGACATTATTACATGTTATGAACTGCAATGTTTTTACTGTACATATAAATTTTTCTGCTCTTACAGAAACACAGTGGTAGCCTGGAGATGTAGCTCAGTTGAAAGGGTGTTTAACTAGCATACACAAGGCCCTGGGCTCAATCCCCAGCACTGCATAAACAAGGCCTGATTGTGCAAACCTGTAATCCCATAATTTGGAAAGTAGAAGCGCAAGGATCAGGATTTCAAGGCCAGCCTTGGCTATATAGTGAGTTTGAGACCAATCTGGGGTACATAAGGAAGGGAAGAAGGAAAGAAGGGAGGGAGGGTGGAGAGCAACATAATGACTAATTACAGAAAACAAAACTTTTAATATTTTCCAGCATGTGTGAAATTAGTATATCTTTGGATTATATTGTGTTAGAATGCTTGATTTTTTGAAAATGTTATTTGAGTTATTGACTTAAGTTTTATAAAAATTACTAAATAAACTTTGATTTGGGATTAGGACAGGATTTCCATCAATTTCTGAAATGATCCTAAGCATACTTCTTCAATTTTTGTACTAGGTATTTATGTGAGGTGCTATTCTTAGCACTATTAAGTGTAAAATCAAAATATTGGCCAAATATGAAAAACATTAAAGATGATTATGTTCTAAAGTATCAAATAGTCAGCTAAGATACAATTTTATGTATGAATAGCAAGTGCATCCATCTCAGTATGCAAATTGGTTTTCATCTTTAATAATGGAAAAATCATATGTATACCAAAAACTTTGGGAGTGGTGCTGCACATCTTTAATCCAAGCACTTGGGAGGCAGAGGCAGGCAGATCTCTGTGAGATTGAGGCTAGTATGTTCTACATAGCCAACTGGGGCTACAGGGAGACCCTGTCTCAAAAAGATCCAAAGAATAGATTTCTTTATGATTTATAGCAATATTTGAATTATTTATCTGTGTCATATCTGTATACTCATGATCATATAAAAATTTCTCAGGCAAAAGGGGATCATGAGTGGAAAGAGTTTGAGCAGCCCTGCTCTGAACTGGCCTTTGAATACAAACAACGTTTCCATAGAGAATTTACTAAAACTCATAGTGGAAAATATTGCACCATTGTATGAGAAATTGTTCTTCATTTTTAGTGAATTTCTAACTATGTACAGCACCTGTTGAAAAGTGTTCATTTCATTTCAAAAGTCTTCTTGGTGCTTAGAATACATCATTCTGCCTATTCTATCCAATTTCATATCATTTGCCAATATGGCCCATTCAACTATCGATATATTAAAACATCTCAAAGCTCAGTCACCTCAGCACATTTTGTACAAACTGTGTGTAGAGTCTGTCATTCAGCTGGTCACTTGTGGTGGCTTTGACCCATCTCAGCCACTCTTATTGGGACTGCTCAAGAATCTACCCCAGTTGATATTTGGCTGCAAGCTGATCAGTGTGGGATCACTTCAGCCGAATGACTCATTCCATTCACAAAACTTGCATGTTCCATTAGGCTAGCTTGAGCTTGTTCTCACGACTATGTCAGGGTTCCAGGAAACTAGGAAGCATGCAAGATCTATGTAAGGATCAGCCCCACCCCTGGCACCAAGAGAAGTAGAATAGAATGGAAACTAAATCAAGAGAACAAAGAAAATAAGCATCATAATACCAGTGTGTGCTTCCAAAGTCGATTTAAATGATCAAGGTGGCACTGACAAATGCTTTAGATAGAAGACTTCAATAGACATCAGTGAGGTTGTTCTAGACACACTGATCAACAGTTCTAGAATATATTTAAACAGCTATGACTCCTAGAATAGATACTGTCATCCAACTCACATATACTCACAATTAGCAAGGGTCTAGAGGAAAATTTCAACAGATTTGATGCTGCGATTTCCAAGTTGCTTCCACTCCACTCTGCAACAGCAGGAGCCCAGCTCATACCCATAACTATGGTATACAAAATGTCATTTTAGAAAAACGACATCAATGTTTTTCCATTTAAAATACAGCTCATATTTCCTTGTGTTCTGGAAATTGTGGCTTTTGCTCAATGCCAATCTTATGTTGTCTGAGGCTCCATTGTACTTACACATAGTTTGAATCTTGGCTTAATTTAGCACAATAGATAGATTTTAGTAATTATCTCACAAATGTTTTCATTTGAAGAAATTTACTGTAGCTGTCTTCTTTTCCTATTGGATGCTAAGAAGAAACAAAATTTAATGACCGTCTTTAGAGACCGTGATAAATCTGGTCAGTGTCTACATTAGACTTGATAAAGAAGAATGAATTTTATAGCATATGCTTGGAATCCAAGGGAAATACATCTCAAATTGCTGAAGGCTCTTTAATCATATTATTATGCAACCAGGAACCTATATGTGTGGTTGTTACATTTGTATTGGCTCTGAAATTTCCATGTATATAAAAGGCTTTAAAAGCTTAACTAATTTTAAAAAACTATGTCACAAGGTGACATTTCAGCTATGTGGAATGCTTAGATGAGGACTTGGGATGTTGGAAGGCCTCTAGCAGCAGAACAGGTAGGCTTTTCCCACAAGGGACATGGAAACTGAATGTGAATACATCACCTATCAGACAGTGTCCACAAGAGACGTGGCACAGCAAAGATGAACACAGATTTTGATCCAATGCCTACTGAGAACTCTTGAACCTGAATGAGCTCTGTAATTTCTGGACTAAAACAATATGAAAGAAGTTAAAAAGCTAATCTAGGGATTCCAGACATTAGAGACTGGCAAATTCTACATTCTATCTCATGCTTAGAAGTCAGCTGCCATGCTTGAGAATCACAAGCTACAGGGAGAGTGCACACAGTGCTTTAGTGAAAGTCCTCGGGAACTCCTAATCAGCTGTAAGTATCAGCCCAAGCATGTGAGTGAGCCACTTCAGATCCAGACTAGTCATGTCTTCAGGTGACTCCAGTTAGGAGTCCAGTCTGACTCTAATTACATGAACAATCTAAGCCAGATGTGTCCAGCAGAGCTAATCTAGGGATTTTAGCCTTGAGAGTCAACACGCAGAACATGAGACATACTGATAAATTGTTTTAATCCAATGCTTAGAACTAGCTTAGTAAACATTTCATTTTGTAAACTGAGACATTAGCCAGTGTCAACCAGTACTGTTGTACTTGAAACGGAATTTGAAAATTGTTATAAATAACAATGGCTTGATGTCTTTATTGATCTGTCCTTCCAAACAGAATGGAGTAAGAGTGAGGACAGCTTACTATAATTTACATCCTTTAGATCTGATGTAGACATGAGGAATCAGAGGAGCTAAGAAAACATTAGAAGTCCTTCTGTTTGGAGTTGATCAGATCCTATGGAAGGCCACTCTACAGCCTACCACACCCTGGAGGATAAGATTTTGATTGTCTTTTTTACTTCCTTCCCTCCCTTTACTTCTTGTCTCACTTCCAATTTCCAAGTTTCCTTCACTACACTCAACAGCAGGAGTCCATCTCCTGTCCACAACTATGTTATACAAAAGGATGCTGCTCAAACAGGCATCTGCATGGAGTGGTTAGGTAAGCAGTCTCTGAGTTGAGGGCAGCTTCAAGCTGGATTTTATCCACAAAAGCCCAGAAAACTACCAGAATCATCTTTGTTCTTCTATCTGATAAGAAATAAATAGAGTGAAGTTGGTCTTTTGCTAATAAACTATATACTTTATATATATATA